CTGTATTGGAGCACCCTCCATTCATCTATTCTGAATACTAAGATGGGCTAGAGTAACAGCTTGCACGTCAGTTCAGAACTGCAGTTAGCTCTCCCCAGTCACGAAATACTAACACAGGAATTCTGTTTCCCTGAGTCCCTAGAGACTGGGACCCCACATTGAGGTGAGCCAGAAGTACAGTTAAGTCACCTCCTCCTAGGTCTCTTCTCTAACCTTGGCATTGGTCTTGCCTTTGTTAATCTAGCATCAGGTGCTTATAGCATAGAGACATAAGAAGTTAGTGGCACAGTTTTATTTTGTGATGATGTTTTATTACCAAGGCGTTCTGCTAAGGCTACTGTGGCCAGGGAAGCAGGTGGCCTAACTGCAGATCTTCAATTCTCCCTCTTCTCCAAATCCAATCCCCCAGTCACCCTCAGCTCAGGGGCAGACCACCTGCTGCAGACTGCTCTTCCTTTCTGCCCCATGTCCACTAGCTCATCTAGACCCTTCTTCCAACCACCCTTTCCCCTACTCATCTATTATCCCATCCCAAACAAGTGCCAGCGCTCCCTGGGGACCAAACAGATCTTTACGTCTCCATTCTCTCCTTTAAATCCAACACCCCTGCCACATCCCTAACTACGTAGCTGACCACCTACTGTGGCCTCTTACTCGTTCCTGCTCCCATCTCCAGTGGATCACATAGCTCTTCTCCAGCCTTCCTCCCACTCATCCTGTTATCCTAACCACCATCTTCAGCAGGCATCCCTGGGATCCTGCCTGCCAAGTCTGCTAGAGAAGGAAGTAGGCCAGTGAAGTAGGTAAGTGAGCTTCAGATCTTCATTCTCCCTCCTTCATTCTCCCCAGATCTCTAGCAAACTACCTCTTGAGGCAGAGATTTCCAGGTCACTAAGCAAAATTAGGTGGAACACCCTGCTTTCTTCCTTCATGTGAACCCCACTTATCTCCTTCCACCTCACTCCCATTCATAAGTGTCAGCTCCCAATACTTAAAATCATATTTTACTTAGAACTCCCAGTGGCCATACCTAGGAGCATCCCAGAATTCCCTAGTAGGCAGCACATAATCACCATCCCTAAGAGCCATAAAGGGCAACAGAATCCAGGGAACAAAACACCCACCCAACAAAAATAAGACTAAGATCATCTCAAACTCATACACTAAGAAAAATTTCCTAACCTAAAGAAGGAGATGCCTATCAAGGTACAAGAAGCATATAGAACACCATATATACTGGACTATGAAAGAAATTTCCCTCAACATAAAACACTAAATATATAGAACAAAAGAAAGAATATTAAAAGCTGCAATGGAAAAGACCAAGTAACTATAACTGTAGACCTATTAGAGTAACACCTGACTTCTCAAAGGAGACTCAAAAGGCCAGAAGGGCCTGGACAGATATTCTATAAACTAATAAGAAACCACAGATGCCAGCCCAGACTATGTCCAGCAAAACTTCCTATCACAATAAATGGAGAAAATAAGACATTCCATGATAAAAACAAATTTAAGCCATGTCTATCTACAAATTCGGCCCTACAAAAGATACTAGAAGGAAAAATCCAATCTAAAAAAGTTAACTACACTCAGGAAAACACAAGGAATAAATAATCCCAGACCAGCAAATCAAAAGAGGATTTTACACACACACGCACACACACACACACACCAAAATAATAGGAACCAGCCAACACTGCTTATTAATCACTCAACATCAATAAAAGACTTAACAGAATGGATGCAAAAACAGTTTCCAGTCTTCTGCTGTATCCAAGAAACACCTTAGTATCAAAGATTATCACCGCAGGGTAAGAGGATGGAAAAAATATTCCAAGCAAATAGATTTATAGAGCAAAGTGGCACAGCCATTTTAATACCTGACAAAATAGACTTTGAATTTAATCAGAAAAGATAGGGAAGGATACTTCATAGTCGTCAAAGGAAAAATCCTTCAAGAAGACATTGCAATCTTTAACATCTATACACGAAGCACAAGGACACCCAAATTCATAAATTCAAAACCCAACTCTTACCGATAGACAGGCCATCCAGACAAAAAACTACAGAAATGCTGGAGCTAGCGGATATTATATACCAAATGGACCTAAAATATTTTCAGAACATTTCACCCAAAACACAAGAATACACCTTCCCAGCACTCATGGAACTTTCTCCAAAATTGGCCACATACTCAGACTCAAAGCAAATCTCAACAGATACAAGAAAATTGAAATAACGCCCTCCATCCTATCCGACCATCATAGATTAAAGCTGATATAAACAACAGAAAGCTTATAGCTCATGGAAACTGAACAACTCACTCTTGAATGAAAAATGGGTCAAGACAGAAGTTAAGAGAGGCTTTCTAGGATGGAATGAAAATGAATACACATACCCAAACTTACGGAACACAAGTTAGTTCTAAAAGGCAAGCTCATAGCACTAAGTGCCTACATAAAAATCAGAGAGCTATCATTCTAGTAACTTGACAACACACCTGAACAAACGAAGTAACCACAGCCACGGGGAGGAGATGGCAAGAAATAATCAAACTCAGGGCTGACATCAATCAAATGAAAACAGTACAATACAAAGAATCAGTGAAACAGAGTTGGTTCTTTCAGAAAAATCACAAGATAGACAAATCCTTACCCAAACTAACTAAAAGGTCAAGAGAATATCCAAATTAACAAAATCAGAAATGAAAAGGAGGCATGACATCAGACACTGAGGAAATCCAGAGAATCATCAGAACAAACTTTCAACAACTGTCCTCCAACAAATTGCAAACTCAAAGAAATGAATAATTTTCTTGACAGGCATCACTTACTAAAATTAAATAAACAGTTAAGCAATTTAGATAGACATATAGCCCCTAGTAAAATACAGGCAGTCATTAAAAGTCTCACATCACCCCCCCACTCCCACCCCACAAAAGTTAACACCAATATTCCTCAAATTATTCCCATAATAGAAACAGAAGGAACTCTGGGTAAGTTTTCTTCAATCAGGTTCAGCATATCTGCCTTTATGCTGAGGTCTTTGATCCACCTGGAGCTGTTCAGGGTGCTTAGTATAGGTCTATTTGCATTCTTCTTCATACAGCCTGGAAAAATTTGGGAATAGCTTTGAACTCCTTGGCATAGGAAAAGACTTTCTGAAGAGAACATTGTTAGCGCAGTCACTAACATCAACAATCATTGAAAAGGACCTCATATATTTCATTTCTTATATATCATTTAACATAACATCCTTCAGGTTTATCCATGTTATAAATGAAAATACTTATTTTTTAAAATCAGAATAATTGTCCACTATGTTAAATAAAATATACTAAAACTCAATTTTTTTCTCAATTTAAAAATGTTCTCTCTTCATACTGAAATTTCATTACTGTACATTTGTATATTACTGTATCAAAAGCCACAGTGCCTAGCTTAGGGATTTGCTACTGTTGTGACCACTCTGGGAAGATTATTTAACCTCTCTTGAGCCTCTCATACTGTATTGTGTGGGTAGGAATAGAACTTTATCAGGGCAGGGATGCATAAAGTCCTAGGAACAACCCTCGGGCATGTGTGCACACAAAATAGCACACATCCAAATATTTCCCATAATACGTGTGAAGTGGCTAGAACCATGCCTGGAACTCAGTAGGAGATACATAATTATTTGGTTTGATATTATTAATTATCAAACCAAATGTTTGAATGTTAAGATGAGACATTCTAGAAACTTATAATGGAGATAATCTCCAAAAAAAAATACTAAAAAAGAATACTAAGATTTTCACCATGAGTGCATTTAATATTGATGCATAATAAAACAGACTATGTATCAACATAAGATAATGAGATGGGTGCCCTAGTAGTAATAACTTCTATTGAACTATGTGCTTTAAATAGGCAAAGTGGCTGGGTCAGTTACCATTCATCTCTAGACCTTAAATGAAGGAAGCTGATGAGAGACAAGCTCCTACTTTGTCTGAGGCAGGAGACAGATGGGACATCAGGGCAACTTGGGTCAGCAGCATGGACTGTGGTATAGCAGTTTCCAAGAATGAAAGCATTTCTCGGGGCATCGGGAGGTTCATGGGACTTAGGAAATTGACAAAATGGCACATGTCTGGGAAAGTGCAAACTTTTGATTCTCAAAGTCCATTCTGCAGTATTTTAAGACTGGGTAAACAGCTGCTGGTGGAGGAGACTCTGGAGAGCTGCCTGCCTGCAAGCTGTGCAGAGTTCCAGGGCTCCATCCAGCTCTCCCGAGTTGTCGCCTGTGTTGGAGGTGGGCTTTTGTAGTGATACAGCTGCTTTTGTGAGTCATCTTTGTTCTATCACGCACATTTCTGTTAGTAACCCCAATAAAAATTTATCAGTTTACCAAAATAAATAAGCAAACAAATAAATAATAAATATAGTGGGACCTCATGAAACTGAGAAGCATGGACACTGTCATGCAAAGCGGCAGCCTAGAGAAAGCGGAAAGATGCCTTAACAAATTCACAGCCAATGGAGGACTAAGAACCAAAATATATATAAAGAACTCAAAAACTAGGTGTCATGAAAACAGATAACCCAAACAAAAAATGAGGTACAGGTCTAAACATCGGACTCTCAAAAGAGGAAACTCAAATGGCCGAGAGTGCTTCATAAGCTAGCCAGATGTGGTGGCAAAATCCTGAGCCCCTGAGGTGAAGGTAGAAGAGTCCAAGGCCAGCAAGGGCTACATAAAGCCCTGCTCCAAATCTGTCCCTCTGCCACAGTCAAACACAAAACAGCTGCTGTCAGGGACAGACAGCTGGTTTTGTCATGCTGTCTGAGCCCTCCTGATGTTCTGTCTGCAGATCACTGGATTCAGGTGGCTTCTGACTCTTCCTCACCTGTCTGTGATGGCCTCATTCTTAGACCACATCTATTTCAGTAAGGCCCGGGTTAGTTTTCACACATGGCAGAGACGCACTTTCTGCACAGAGGAAAGACGAAAATCTGAGATGGCTGTACTTCTTTTTAATGTAAGTGATCCAAAAACCAGTCAGGATCAGTTTTTTTCTTTTTAAATCTACATTTGCTGTTGAAAACAGTATTTCTGACACTTCAACTGAATACTCTGGATCCTTCTTCACTTGAAGTAATTTGTTTCACCCCCAACAAGATCAGTTTTGGGGGGTCAGAGTATATGGTTTAATATCTTGGCTATTTCCATCAGACCTGCTGACAGAATTATTATAATGCCTACCTCCAGCCACCACACAAATCCAAACAAAGCCCACCGAGTGCTGTTAATGTCTTAAACACATTTTTATTTATTGTGTGTATATGAGCATGTGCATGCCGTTACACACGGGTGTTCAGAGGTCGATTTTGGAGTCTGTTCTCTTCTACTGTGTGGGTCTTAGGCTTCACTTCGGTCGGTCGGGCTTGGGGACCAACGCCCGTGCTTCACCGTGCATCACACCTGTGTGTTTATTAATCTGCTAGATCCACAGGACAGAAAGTATAAGAGCATTCACAATGAGCTCCTTTTTCCTTCCTTCCTTCCTTCCTTCCTTCCTTCCTTCCTTCCTTCCTTCCTTCCTTCCTTCCTCTTTTCTTTTTTTAAGACAGTCTCACTTTATAGCCTGGTCTGACCTTAAACTCAAGGTAACCCTCCTGCCTCAGCCTCCCAGTGCTGGGATTACAGGTATGAGCCTCCATCCCAGCTACATAATGTGCTTTAACTAGCAGAAACATTTTCATTGTCTAAATAAAGGCTCCCCCTCTTCTCCATCCTCCAGTACTGTTACCAGACTGTATTATAATTGGTTATTTCCATAGTTTCCACCTCCCTTAAAGCTTCTTTGTGAGCACAGTAGACAAAAATCATATATTACCTTTCTGACTTTTCTATAGCTGGCACACAGTAGCCAGCCAGTTCATGAATATATGAAGCGACCTGGTAAGCAACTCCTTGGCATACGGGCAGCAGAGCACAGGTCTCACTGTGAGTGCTGGGCTCAGAGAGGTGAGCAGGAGGAAGAGCGGCCGGCAGAGTCGATTTCACTTGCAGGAATGGAGTATCTGGCTTTTCTATGGTGAGGTAAACCATCTCACAGCCAACTGAGAGCGGAGTGAGGCTCCAGACCAACTGTTGATAATGTTAGAATCCCTCAGGATGGTATTTTTTTGTAACATCTTGGCACACATTTTTATCACACATAATCCAAGAGCTCGAAGCTTGATACGTATTGTGATACTTCACCTGAAATACTCTGGATCCTTCCTCCCTTTAAGTAAAGAATTTGGTTTTGGTTGTTTTTATTTTTCCCTCCTAAGGAACTCAGAATTCCTACGGGTCCTGCCCTTCTTGGATAACCATGAGACAACCCCAAATTTAGGGATTGCCATTGCCAGTGCATTTAGTAGAGAAACATCTGTATTTCTTTTTTTTAAAAAGAAACCTAAAGTGTCAACTAAGTTCATCATGTTCATGTTCTCTCTGGCCCCAGTGATCGCCTTTAAAAAAAAAAAAAAAAGCCTACCAACACGGAGGCATTCAGCTCCCACAGCGTCCATGCAGACGCCTGCACTTTCAACAGTCCACCCACCTACCCACAGTGGATCCAGAGTTCTCCAGCAGAGGCCAAGTTTTGTGACACACAGAAACTGTACAAGGATGAGTCCGATCTCCGATCTCAGGTGTCACAAGTCAAAGTAGAGACAATGCCAAGAGCTTTCTCCTTTTGATGATCTTGTCTCAGTGGATGGCCAGATGTTCCAGTGGATGGCTAGATGTCCTCAGTGTGACATTTTTATCCATTTGAAGATCTTGTCCCAGTAGATGGCCAGATGTCCCCGGTGTGGCATCTGTCAGCCAAGACCTTTGCTCTTAGCACCAACTGCAACCACGTGGCATACTTCTACATCTGCCCCCAGCTTCTGTAGCTCGTCCAGCCAGATCATCTGCTTACATGAAAGGCGGTCACTGGGGCCTTTAACTTCCACCAGCTGCGAGAGAAGTTTCCAGACTCATCAACATCTTACTGACACAGAAATGATCCAATGAGCTATAGTTATTTAAACTGCTGCCTATCGGTCAGTCTACAGCACCATACACATTTACAACAAACAGATATGGAACTAAGACATACGCGGGAAAATTCCGTGGGAACTAGACAGTTGTGGGAATTTCCCACAATTCCGTGGGAACTTGCGTAAATTAAGTAGCAACTGAAGTGGTTTTAAGGTGCACAGTGGGTTGTTGTTCTGTTCTTTAACTCCCAATTTGTTGTGTTTGCATCGGAACCTAGATTTCATACTGCAATGTAGAAAGAAGGATCTGATCCCTGGCAGTCTGCCCCAAGGCTTCATTCCCTCCAGTCTTATCCCCAGGACCACACAGACATCTGCTGAGGACACGTCTGTCTCTCATACGCATTGTTTCTTAGGATTCAAGGCTCTGCTAATCTCATTTCAGAGATCTACCCCATCCCTCAGGAGGGTCTTCCTGTGCACTTTCTCATAATTGTAAGGCCAAATCGGTCTTTTTTTTTTTTTTTAATGTTTTTAAAAGATTTGGGGTGAGGAGTCACCAGAGGACAACTTGCAGTCTGCTGATTTAACTCAGCTTGTCAGGGTTGGTGGCAACCATGTTTACCTACTGAGCAGGAATCCAAGGAGGAACCTGGAGACAGGAGCTGATGCAGAGGCCATAGAGGGCTGCTGCTTACTGGACTGCTCTCATGGCTTGCTCAGCCTGCTTTCTTATAGAACCCAAAACCATAAGGGCTAACAGTCATCCTGTAATGCTAGCATGTAGGAGGTGGGGATGGGGTTCCCAGAGCAAGCTGGCTAGCTAGCTAGACAAGCTAAACTGCTGAGCACCTGGTTCAGTTAAGAGACCCTGCCTTGACATATATGCTGGAAAGGCATCAAGGAAGAAACCCAGTGTCAACCTTGAGCCTCCACAGACACAGTCACCTGATCACATATGTAACTACATACATACATAAAAGCACTCCTTCCCCCAACACACATATACTCACATAAGACTCAATTATATGCTGCTTGGCATGGAGAAATACTTTAGTCAGTAAAGTGCTTGCCATGCAAGCATGACAAGTTGATTTTGATCCCCAGAGCCCATTAAGAAAGCAAGGCAGGGTGGTGCACACTTGGTATCCTAGTGCTTTGAGTCAGATAGATATGAATCTCTATGCTGTGAGAGGGAGTAGTGCAACCAACAGGCACCAAGTGCTCCTAGAAGACTCAGGATGTAGAATTAACCCATCTTATTCTGGGTACCACAGGGAACCACTGACTGCAGGTTCCCTCTCTAAAGTCAGGCTTACCAGCCAGAGGCAGCTCACTTCTGACCTGGAAGCTTACATAAATGAGAGTAAGTGGACATAGGCCAGGAGGAGGCCATTCTTTCAAGGTCATAGTGTTAGATTCTGTCTGACACCAGAAAAAAAGCCAGTGTGGGCACCTTGGCGTTCGTGCAGATCTTATGCCTAAACCTACATGGTTGGCAGAAGTGGAATCGGCAAACATTTCAGCTCTAAAGGACTTGGGAAGTTAGGTGAGTTTTGTACCTTAATACTAAGGGAGAAACAGAAGGCCAGGCCAAAGAATATATAAATTCAGTTCTTCATTCAATAAGCCTGGAGTTCTATTGCATGAGAAACAAAAATATTCTCAGCAGAGAGAGCATCAATGGAACTGAGCAGTCAGCTACTCCTCAGCAAAACAGTTATTTTAACCAAGAGCAAACAGAAAAGTATCTAAACAGATCACAAAAAAAAACACAAACGGAAACAAAAAACTTTTAGAACAAAACACAAGAGAACCTCTTTGTGGTTTCACATCAGATATTTCACACCAAAGGTATGATCCACTCAGGAACACTGAATTTAATCAAAGTTTAAAGTTTCTGGTCATCAAAAGATACTATGATAAAATTAAAAAGACAAATCTGACTAGGATAAAATCTGAGTCAGAAAGAAGGGGAGATAAGAGAGGGAGGGAGCGGGAGGAAGAGAGGGAAGGAGTGGCAAGCACAGGAGAGGCAGAGATAGGAAGAGAGCACATGAGTGTGTGATAAACCACCCAGTGAATGGACATAGGCACAGGAACAGGCCTGGCCCAGGGTATGTGAACTTCCCTAGACTCCTGAGGACCCACACACTGTGTGAAGCCCCGCCTCACAGTGTGCCTTGTAGCTGTGACTTGTTCCAGAATGTCATACTGGTAGAGTATCACCTCCAGGATGAGGCGGCATGTGACTGCCTGCCTCAGAGAAGCTTCTGAGCACCCCAGCCCTCAGCCTCGTGACTATCAAGGGAGTTTAATCCTTCCAACAGCCAGGAAGAAAATGCCCAGCATGTGAACTGTGACAGTTGCTGATAAAATTACAAATGGTGTTCTCTACTGACCTTGCAATGGAGGCTCTGAGAATTCCACACCACCAAGTCAGGGAGGCCCCCTCGGCAGTGCCGAAAGTCAGCAGCCAGGCGCCTGCACACACCACTGAGGACAGGGCCCCCAAGGCAGGAGACAAGATCCTAGACACATTACAAAAGGAAAGTTATCTACCTTGAGGGCAGAGACCCCAAGACAGGCTGGAGCGGCCATCAGAGGACACCAGTACAATTCAACAAAATCCAGGGATACCAGAAATAGCTCTGCTGTCAGACCAGGCTCCAGAGTGGCTGGCAGAACCCCATAGGCAAGCTCTGGGAAAGACCTCTTCGTGGTCAGTTCCCGACTTATGCCTGATGTGGACATCTTGTGCCACATTTCATGAAGAGGGAGTGTGACTCAGCACTCAGGAGTGACAAGGCCTTACAGAGAGGTCAGTGGCTGCGGGGCATAGAAGTTACCCTTCCCGATGCAACTACAAAAGGAAGGGAAACTGTGGGAAAGGTATCAGGCTTCTGAGTGTCCTCACGTGTGTATCACTAACACACACGCACATGCACGCACATCCATACACACCCCTTTGTATTCGGATACAATTGCCAAACCACAGCTAGCACTGTGAGGGAATGACTGACCAGATCGCAGTAAAGTATTACCTGAGCTTGCTGCAGAGAGGTGAATCGGTCCCAGCTGACCAGAGAAGCCACTCTGCCTTGCTGGGCCTGCCATGCTTCGGCCACCCAGGCCTGCAGGCTCTCAGCAGGGGCGCTGTGGATCAGCTGCAGCCTGGCTTCCAGGGCCTGCTCCCTGCTTGAGAAGAAGCTGTCCGTGAGCAAATCCAGGGGGGAGGCCTGTGTGGAGGAGAAAAGAAACTTCTACCATGCCTGGGGAGGGTACTAAACAGAGGATGCTGGAGTCCGTGAGATCTGAAGCTAGCCAATTGGTTGGCACACTTTTTTCCTTAGAGGAGATGAGTTAAAATTATCAGATACACGTAATCTTGTCCTGGGTTTCTAGTTTGCTGTGAGTGGAATTGGTTGAGCTCCAGGTGGTGCTAGTGGGACTGTGTGTGAGAGCCCTTGGTTGGATGCTGGAGCTAGGCCAGGTGCTCAGCTGAGGGGGCTCGGTACTAAAGTCAACATGTAATGCTGAAGGGAATCTAGGCTTGGGGTTAAAATCTACTAGTTCCCATTTACAAATAAAAGGTCATTTCCTATGTTATTAGTACTAGAGAGGGTAGAGCCCGAAAATCACCACGAGCCAGGCTGCGGCTGACTGGAGTCCCCGGTGCAGGGGAAGGCCTGCAGCACAGGCATGCACAGGAGAGGCCCTGGTGTGATGGTTTTAGAGGTCACCTGGTAGGCATTTCTGAAGACATCTGGTATTCCATCCATGAAGATGACATCCCACAGCAGGAGGCCACACAGGGTGCTGAAGGTGGATCCTTCTCCATGAATCCCTAAAACAATGTCACATGAGAAGAAAAACACCCATTTTACCTGGTTGTTTAAGAATATTGTAATGACCTAATGCAAAATTTTCTCTTTCAGGGAAAGAACTGAGATACAGTTGATTCTGAAAGACATGATGTTTCCATGCTATTCCAGCTTGTTCTTCATACTATAGTTTTTGCATATAGAAGCTTTATTTAAGGGGAAAACTTTAAATGGGCATTGGAAAGCCACAGAGTAGTGGTTCTTAATAGTGGTGGACAGCCTATGGGGCAGTTTGCTTTAGCAAAACAGACTTCCTACTCGGCTTCTAGAGGTTCTAAGTGAGTGGGCAAACTAGGCTGTGCGCAGAATTCATAAGCAGGCTCTGACACAGGCCCGTTAGAACCTACAAGAAATGATTCCCCAACAGGGACTGTCAAAAGGCCAGGCATTCAGGGCAGCCCTGCAACAGTCCTTCCACTCACCAGGCTCACCCATTCATTAAGCAGATTTGGCCTAATGGGGTTATTTCAATGTTCCTGATATGCAAGGCTTCTACAGAAACTGTCATCTGTCAAGACCACCAAGGTCTAGTGCCCTCCTCATGCTGAAGACACAATACTCAGAGAACACAATCATCCTCACGGAACAGTTGGATCCTAGGGCACTGCAGGTCAGCAGCAGGGTCTGGAGGGATAAGTCTTGGCATAGACTTCAGACCTGTGTCCCCCAGAGTGCTGATTTACCAAGCTCCTCTCTCTCTAAGCTCGGTGTCTCTGCACAGCCACAAAGACCCCAGCAAAGGAAGACAGCTATGTGGTTCTCTCTACCTTCTTACCATGCTCACACTGGCAATAAAGCTCCCAAAGAGCACAGGGCAGAAAGCAGCATGAGTGTCAAATGCTCAGGCGTCTAGCATACTTCCCACTGGGAGGCAGTGGCTGGAGCCTGTGGCCATGTTCTTCTTTCTATCCTGAACTCCAGAGCTGTGCAGGGCTTTGTTTGTTCCCTCCCAGTTCTGGCTCCTGTCCCTCTGGCCTGTTTCCATGGTACAAAAGGACAGAGTGAACAGGGCTTGCTCAGCCTGGCTGAAACAAGCCCTCGAGCTACCAGGAGCATTCACATCAGGATACCAGGCTCTGGCCTGCCAGGAAGAAAGCTGGGCCTACCTTGCAGGCTTCTGTCCCTGGGTGAATATCACTCCACCACTGACACGGAGGTCAGACTCATTCCTGACTGCTGCTATGCTCTGAATTCTGACGGCAGTCATTTTTGGAGTAATCCTCCTTCCTTATTCAGAAATAGCTTCCCTGGAGGGTTTGAAATTTCCTCTACATAAATCCCTCTACAATAAAACCCAGCAGCACGTCACATCAATTTTCCAATATATTAGAATGTAATATAAATTTAAAACATCTTATGCGGAGATATTTTATGTTCTGGAAAAAGAATTTCCTGCTGTTCTTCAGGCTCCTGGATAAACTGGAAACATTTCCCTGTGCTGCATTCCTCTAGCCAGGAGAGGGACAGTTGACATGTCTCCTGTGACATCACCTAGGGCTTGGAATTTCCATTCTGCTCCTTGATGTCTAAGCTTTTCAGGCTCACTGCATCTCACTGTTTTCACCCGTGTCAGTGGTTCTTCCCTAGAGTATCACCTTCCCTGTGCACAGGAAGGCGATGAGCAGATCAATCCTAAGGCTCAGTAGGGAGAAACCCGATTCCACAAAATCCTATCCTCACAGCCCAACTCACTGAGACACACAATGCCACCAGCTGATAATGAGCAGGGGCACAGGGAGAGAGAGGTCTGCCTGAGCACAAGGACAGGACTTGGCTGTCCCCAGGGCAGACCCATTGAGAGCTGCTTGGCCAGTGCCATGAGTGGACATCACGGACTGGCTAATTAGATCTAGGCAGAGAAGCAGGAGGGAGGAGAAAGACGGGAGGCTGAGCGGGTGTGTGGCCAGCACATCCTTGTCTCTGGTACCTGACAGGGAGCTTCCACTCTATTTCTTTCCTCCAGGGTTGACTTATGTTTTCCTACTTACTACACTTTACAAAGGTGTCTGAGGTGGACATTTGATTTTTCCAATTATAAGGTGTGTGTTCAAGCCTCCACTTTTCTCTGGACTGTGGCTAAAGCATTACTTACAGTATACTCTCTGAGACAAACCGTAAAGAAAGACTAAAACGGGGAGAGAAACAGGTATCGGGAAATGTACAAACTCAAGGAATTGCCAACTGACACAAGAAATTCACTACTTAAAACAAAAAGCCTCTTCACCCTGTAATGCAGCACCCTGTAATGACTGCACCAACACTCAGCTCTGTGCCCAGGCAGGTCCAATCATGGGGATCCTGGTGGCCAATGGCCCCTGCAAGAGCCTCCTATACATAGACCAGGAAATTGTAAGAGGAGAGCTAAGTCCACAGCCACCTCAGTGCCTGGCACAGAAGGCCCAGGAACAACCAAGTCAGGAATGTGGAGGCGTGCTAAGGGGTAGCCCTACCCTCTGGGGTTGTGTGTGTATCACATACTAAAGGACCCCAGAGCCCTAAAGGCAGCGTAGCAGGAGGACAAGTGGACTCGGGGGGCCAAGCCTCGTGGTGGCTGTGCAGTTGTTGTTGTAGCCACTGCACTTAGGGAGTCTCTCAATTCTGCACTGGTCAGCATGTACAGCAGTGTCTCACTGGACATTCACATTCAATGAGCAAACCAGCAGGCCCTTCAGCAGCACTCCTCTCTACCCTGCAACAGTGCCAAGACCACAAGGCTCCTAGCTCTGAAACTTGTGTTCTTAGAAGCCAGCAGAATTCCTTTCAAGCTCCTCATACCTATGACCTTACTGTGTGCCTACTAAAATGTTTGTGCCCCTCAGATGCTGGTCCTGGCCCTCTAGGACAGCTTCATTCCCAGGCACAGCCCTCTGTCTTCTCTCTCATCTCTACCCAACGTCAGCCTCTGGTAGCAAAGGCAGTCTCCTTACAGCGACCACCCTACCACAGAGCACCAGCCACATGGTCAGCACAGCTGCACGACAATAATGGCCAAACAACCCTGTTCTTTTTCCCACACCTCTGGACAGATGTGGCTTTTACTGAGGTCAGAGAGGAGAGCAACAAACCATTGATGAACCATCCTGCAACACTCTTCCCCCATTTGCTGACTGACTGGGATGCAGGAAACACTGCTCAGCTTACCTTGGTCAAAGCCGCTTTGCCTGTAATAATCCAGCGCCAGCTCCTCCACAGAGCATAGGATTGTGGTGGGGTTGGTCGTGTCTCCGCCCTCAATGACAAACACAGACTTGCCCATCCCATGCTGGGGGCACAGCCTGCCCGTGATGGTCACCTAGAATGGAAGCAAAAAACATCAATCAAAGAGGGCATGGTGGTACACACCTTCAGTACTAGCATTAAGGAGGCAGAGGCAGGTGGATTTCTCTGAGTTTGAGGTTAGCCTGTCTATATAGTAAGTTCCAGGCCAGCTATGGCTACATAGTGAGACTTTCCCTCAAAAACAAAAATGAAAAAAACTCATTTGATTAGCCCCTGGAAACACCACTGTCCCAAATGAGAATTAGACCATTCTGAGTCCAAGGGGAAGTTACATATTAAAACGATTCCAGGGGTAGGGGGAGGCACACAGAAAAATCTATGGTTTAAATCACAGGCACAGCAAAGAGAACTGATGCTGCCTGAGTTTAACCAACAACAAACACAAAAGCACCCAAAGGACACCTACATGCTTAACGTCTCCCACGGCGACTTCTGGCAGCTGGCTCAAGAGGTGCTTGTACTTTTTGCAGCTTGGAGACTCTCGCAGGCGCACAGCTCGCTGATAAAGAGAAAGTCGGTGTCCTGTCCTCACATGTGGATCTGCCAGGCCTTCCCTGATGCACCTGATTGCCTAGCAATTAATAAGTCACATGTCAAGATCCCCAACGTCCTGAAGGCAGCAGCTGTCGATTTAGTTTGACAAGAAACCTGGAGACTAATTATTCTATTTCCACAGATGGGTAAACAGTGCCTGAAGAAGCACAAGCTATCTCCTTAGGTCTCACTGCAAGGGTCTAACAATGACCTGCTATCACTCACCTGGCCAGAAGAGGCCCGCCTGGCAGGAGTGGAGACATTCTTGTCTGTTTGATTTTGTTTGCCTCTGCCTCCCTAGTGCTGGGATTAAAGGTGTGTGCCACCACGCCCAGCTAAATGAAGACTCTGTAATGAGACACTTGTGCCCTTCCCTTCCTCTATCAGATTACTGAGACAGTGAGTCCCAAGAAACTAACATTTCCCCATGTCTCATGTTGGTATGAAAGGCTGAGGCCCTGGGGTCAGCCAGAAAAGCTTGTCTCCTGGAACCAGACTGTACACAGCCCTGACACCTTGTCAGATCACCTTGCAGGAGAGGCTGGAGCTGAGACAAGGCTAACCCACCACGGGCAGGGTCACACTGTGCCCAGAACTGTGTAGCTCTGAGGCCTCCTGTCCTTGTGTGCACATTCAGTTCTATCTGAACAAAGCAATGTGTATGCTTTTAACTTAGAAAATTGAGCATCACCATTGTCCCCAAAGTGGGAAAATTTTTTTAAAGTAAACAAAATTGCAGTGAGCTGTGGGGCTGGAAAGGTGGCTGAAGAAAGCCATCGGCTTCATTTCCAGAGGCCACATTTTTTAATTGCCAGCATCTACATAGTGGCACACAACTATCTGTAATTCTAGTTCCAGGAAATCCGATGCCCTCTTCTGGCCTTCTTTGGTATTGCATGCATGCAGTATAGACATAAATCCAGACAAAACACCCATATGCATAGTAACTTCAAGAATCACAAAAGGAAAGTTAACTTCAATAAATTTATTCAGGTTCTGCTGACTTCTTGCATTGAGTGGCAGGGCTCCAGCCATCATTAGGAGAGAATTTGACTTTACAAGTGTCACCCTAGCATGTTGGAGAGAAGTTAAGAACACTTATTGTTCTTGTAGATGACCAGCAAGACTGAGTTCCCAGCACCCACATGAAGGTTTACAGCCATCCTTAACTCCAGTTCCAGGAGATCCAACGCCCTCTTCAGAGCTCCACGGGCACCAGGCGCTCACACCGTGCACATGCATACATGCAGGCAAAACACTCACACAATAAAATAAATCTAAAGAATTTTCAGTGTCATCTTAAAGTGTATTGTCTATTAAATACAATTATACAAGCTGTAAGAGAAACTACGTCGTCAAAACAGTCTCCTCACACACCCAACACCCCGAATCTACCCTCTGCTGACCTTCTGTGTATTTAAATTTTCCCCTTTTTATTAAACATGAAGAAATAGATACGTGTTGGTAAATACTAACTGTCCACATTCACACAGAGACATGATGTAGTCTCTGAGCCCAATATACAGAAGGAGGGGAAAGCTGAAAATTCTATGTAGTGTTACAAAGGGGCCAAGCACCTGCTAGCCTCTGGCACAGCAAGGAAACAGGTTCTTCCACAGGCACAGCAGTGCTGTGGATTCCACATAGTTTGTGCTGAGACAAGAAAGGATACAGATGAATTTAGAATAGAAAAGGGGAGACTCTTTCCATGACATTTTACTTAAGTTATGTTTTCCTTTTTTTTTGGTTTTTCGAGACAGGGTTTCTCTGAGTAGCCCTGGCTGTCCTGGAATTCACTCTGTAGACCAGGCTAGCCTCGAACTCTCGAACTCAGAAATCCGCCTGCCTCTGCCTCCCAAGTGCTGGGATTAAAGGCGTGCGCCACCACCTCCCGGCCAAGTTATGTTTTCCTATGTAGGTTGAGAGCAATGGTATTAAGAGACCTCAAAACAGGGCAACTGAGCAGAATAGGGGATCAACTTTTACTCCTGACTAGAGAAAATTAATAAGAAAAAACTTTAAGGGTTAGACCCCATCAGTGTTCAGCATTTTCTTGGTCATCCTCCTCTCTCCACTCCATTACCATCACCCTTATCCCCTTCAGCACAATCGTTCAGCCTCCCCTCACCCTCCATCTCCCATATCATCATCTTCTCCATCTTCAAATCAGGAGCCAGTTGTACTGCTAGAGATTTGGCCAAGTATCGCCTCTGATGACCTTCTCCTACCTGCAGAGAATGGTCAGGAAACTGGGTGAGGAAAACCCCTGGTTCTTCCGGCTGCCTCTCTCTCTTCAGGCCCACCCTGCATTTGACGTGGGATTTGACGTTCTGTGAGATCCTTTCTGAGTTTCCACCTGATTTCAGTGATGTCTGAAGTCAAACTGACACTCTCACTTAGAGGAAATTCTCTGGAGAGAATTTTGTTTCCAGAGTAAGGATTCTCATCCAGATAAAACCCTGCATCTTCAGATTCTGTCTCTTCTCACCTGCAGATACTGTAACACCTCATCCCCCTCTTCCTCAGGCAGTGCCATGATGGATGCAGATGGTTGACGGAGGGTGTTACCTAACGGTTGGGATTTGGACAATCAGGACTGCCTCCTCTTTAAGAATGGTTGGTGACGTTTGTTCTACTTCCACTCTTGACGTTTCCTCACTGCCTTGTTCATTAAGCCCATTTCATTTGGCTCAGTATGTTCATTGTTTCTTGCTGTCCCTTTCCTCAGGTCTCGAAGGCTCTCCCCATGACTGGAATTGAGCTCTTTTTATTGACTGGCCACCAGTGCCACGACGGTGCTGCTGGGCTGTGAGATGGGGGAGAGCAGAGAGCCATGGAGGGCACTCACTGGATGGAGCTGGCTGCATGGCCTTGGCTCTCTGCCTTGGAGGCAGGACTGACAGCCACCTCCAGCCAGTGAGTGCCCTTCATGGCTGAACCTTGGCTCTCTGCCCTCTGTTGAACCCAAACCTCAAGCCAGGACCCAGAAGGATGAGGTGGGGGTGGGGTCACAGGGCCTCTGTATTTGTTCCTTTCCCAGTGTGGCTACACCAAGTTCAAAAGGTAGAGAATGCTTTTCATCATTCCTCATCTCTACAATCGGCCTACAAGGACAAAGCCTAGCTTGTCAGTGCTGTCGGTGCAGGTTCTGATCCTAACCACCCCATTAATGAGAGGATCTCAACAGTTACCCCTCACAGTGACCGTGACCTAAGGGACGCTCAAGTCAAAGGCTGAAGAGGACTTACTGGAAGCCTTGGCTCCTTGGCTTCTCAGGACACCAGTCGGGAAAGTCAGACACACCTGACCTCATTGACAGAGGGGTTGGGGGTCTTCAGAGCAAGTTACATGGCGATTCTAGATGCAGCCAGGCGCAGAGTTGAGCAGATTCCTTACTCACAGAGAGGAACCTAATGTTCCCATTTCCTAAGGTTCTTCCAAGTTCAGCAGAAATACAAAGACACCATTTCTTGGATCTTACTCTACTCAGAAAGTGAAAACTGACTCATGCTGGCCAGCATGTGGAAATCCAGAGCCTGCTGTCTTACTGGTGGGGATGTAAAAATGGGGGAAACACTGCAAAGACCACTCTGACAGCTTTCTTTTAAGATTTACATATGTATAAGAGTGTTCTGTCTGCGTGTATGTCTGTACATCAGAAGAGAGACTCAGACCCCATTACAGATGGTTGTGAGCCACCATGTGGTGCTGGGCATTGAACTCAGAACCTCAGGAAGAGCAGCCAGTGCTCTTAACTGATGAGCCAGCTCTCTAGCCTTCAGTCTGGCAGCTTTTAAAGAGCCAAGCAGAGCTGACACAGGAGGCAGCAGTATCTTCCCTAGGTACATCCCTGAAGAATTAAAGTTAGGCACCAGAGAAGTACTGCATACCCATATCCACAGCAGCAATATTTCCAACAGCCAAAGGGCAGAGGGAACCTGAGCATCCATTTATAGATGACTGGACAAATAAACGTGGGTCTGTACATGCCACCCCCACATCCATCGTTCATCCATGACAACAAATGAAGTCACAACATACTGGAGTAAGGATGGAACTTTGATGCAAACACCAAGTCAAACAACCTGAGGTTGTTCCCCTGACCTCCACATGCACACTGAGGCACCTGCATAAGCACACTCATTTGTATATGGACATATACACACACACACGAGCGCGCACACACGAACATGCACACATGCACATGCACACGCGTGCGCACACACGTTAAGGACACACACACAGATACACATACAGATACAGATCTACAAACACACAGACACACAGATTTTCAATACAGATATACAAACACACACACAGATACACACAGATTCTCACACCCAGATACATACACACACACAAATACACATAGACACACAGATACACAGATGTTCACACACATACACCCAGATATACACACATAGATACATACACAGATACATATACACACAAATAAACATACAGATACCTACACACATAAAAACGCAAATACAGCCACACACATGAAAAACAGATATACATACACACTCACTGATATAAGATACACACATACATAGACACATACATAGATATTCACATGCATACACAGAGATATACACATATAGATACACATAGATACACATGCACACACAAATAAACACACACACACATAAAAACACACATACAGATAAGCCCAACACAGAAACACACACAAACAGACACACACACACATACACACACACACACACTTAGGAGACAGAAAGGCTAAGTCTCACTCTACTCCCAAGACAGTGAGGCAAGCAGGAAGTCTGAAGCTCACAGAAGGGGAGGGCAGAAATAGGCAATGACTGTAGCAGATTTGGAGTAATAACTAAACGGAGACCACAATGTAAGTAATGCATACCACAGAATCATATCTAAAGTCGCTTAAAGGGTAAACTTTGTACATTTTTTTATCCTAACAGAAAAATAAAAACTGAATGAAGAATGAAAGACAGGCAGGATGGCTCAGAAGGTAAGCCCACTGCAGCCAAGCCTGAAAACTTGAATTTAATCCTGGGATCTAGATGGTAGGGGGAGAGAACCCCCCAAGTTCACCTCTCACCTGCACACGTGCACACACACGTCCATACACATACAAAATATACTTTAAACATTTAAAGAAAAACTTAAAAACAAAACCCAAACCCAAGGAACGAATGGAAGCTCAAGCCGTGAGGAACTGTTGATGGGTCTGAAGGAGTCACGAAGGGTGAGCAGGGCCCTGCAGTGCACACTGTTACTAGGGTGGCCAGGTGGCCCAGTTCCCGGGGGTGTGTCCCTGCAGCCTGTGTCCTACAGACAGACATAAGACCCAGAAGACAGAGGATGTAGGGGCAGGGTAACAGGAGCTGTGTGGATGGCACTGAGCATATTGGGAAAAGGCTAGAAGGAACTAGACCTTTCTTAGCATCCATGAAACTGAGCTCAGCGGTCTGTCTGGGCCTATGACTACAGCGAACGGCTGCAGAACTGTGAACAAGGAGGAGTGAGTAACACCTTTGGTGGTAAATACAGTAAGAGATGAGAGGGAGCAGAGACACATGTGGCTCTCCTTCCTAGGTTGAGTTCTGGGCCAGCAAGCACCCTGCCTTGCTAGTTAAGCTTCAGCATGCAGCAGGAGGAAGAGGCACCACACCCACCTCCAAGCCAGAAAACGGCTTCTGATGGCTTTGCATGGGCACCTGAGGTAACACGGCACTGGTTTAGTAGGAAGCAGTAAAAAATACTACATCATACTTCCACATTCCATGGACAATTTTTTCCAGCTCTCTTTCCCCCTGACTCACTACATGTACCACTGGAAAACCAAAGCCTCTCTGAGACACAGTCCCTTCCATTCAGTTCAAACACAGGGCTGGAATGGAGACAGTCGGGAGGGAACCCACAGGCAGCCACACAAAGAGTCACTGTTACCAGCCTGGCTCAGAGGCAGTGGCCTCAAAGGCCTCACCCTGCCCAGCTGCAGAAGTGACAGAATCTGTCTATTTCAAGTCCCCAAGATCCCTGGAGCCTGCCAGAGAAGGTGGCCTGATCAGAGGTGGGGCAAAATGCCCTGCAGAAGTACAGAGAGACTCTCCAGGCACCTGCAGTAAGAGAGAGAGAGACTGCCTCCCATCGGCCTTTGTAACTTAAAGCACTAAGCAACAAGTATATAAAGCCACTCGCTCCAGCACAGACCATAGGGTCGGGGCTGGGTTGTGGGGAGGGCACTGAGACACAGAGACATACAGAGAGTCAGAAACAGAGAAGAGTATATAGAACCTATAGAGAGCCAAGACACACCTGATCCTCCTGCCCCTTGATTCCTCTTCCTGGAGCCCACTATCAACCCCTTTCCTCTTCCAGTCAGAGCAGACAGGCATCTTCTGCCTGTATTTAATGCTGGTGCTAGAATCACCCCTGATATCTTGGGGTTGGGGATGGGGTTGGAAAAAAAATCAAAGAATGTTAACCAAAGGAAAAATATCTTCTAATTATATTTAGAATTTCTTTTCATTTATTACATTTTTATTTGACTATCACATTTGTTATATATTAATGGTTTCTAAAGGTTTTATAAAAACTAAATATTTAAAGGCTTTGTTTTATCTGGAGTAACTTTTCCATGTATAATATAGAAATACAACACTATTAATAAAAAATCCTACTTTTTATTATTTTCTCAGAACCACAAATTACTTTTTTTAGTGATAGCACTAACACATAAATTAATGGGGAAGGAGAAGGAATGGGGGAAGCGGTCCAATTACATTGTAGTTATAGTAAAATAAATGGCCGGGTATGGTGCACACCTTTAACATCAACGGAGAAGGAGAAGCAGGTGGATCTCTGTGTGCTTGAAGCCAGCCTAGTATATATAGTGAGGTCCAGGACAGCCAGCCAGCCAGCCAGCCAGACAGACAGACAGATGGACAGACAGAGCTACACAGTGAAACTGCACCACCAACAAACAAGTAAGTTAATTAAAGAAAGGTGCTTTCCTAGGCAATGATAATTCGGTGGCAGAGTATCTGTTTAAATACGCGTGAGGCCTTCACTTCCATCCCCAGTGCTGAAGTACTTAGAGCTTGCCATTAAAAATCACACTAAAGCAGCCTGGGTATGCTGCTGAGTACCTCTTCCAGACGCTTCAGGTGCTGGTGCAGGTTAAGAGCCAGGCGATCCCACCAGCGGCCTCTGCTGTCAGGACAATAGATTTTCTGAGACAAAAGATTTTCAAGTTCCTGGACTGCTTCCTATGGCAACAACAAAAAGAAAGGCTGTTAGATGCTGGAAACATCGGTTCCAATTATAGTTAGACGTCTACAGGGTTGCTGAGGTCCATCTGCAATGAAGGCCAACGACCAGCCCTGACAGCGGTTTGAGATGTTCTCCTGCATGACCACAGCTGTCTGAGCATGTACTTGACTCCAGGGTCCTGCCTAGTGATGCTGAGCCCTCAGAGTCTGTGAGCAGGTGCTGGTGCTCTCCAAGTCACCTCTGGCAGCCCAGGGCCACCCAGGGTCCTGGCTATGTACAGGCAGCTAAGCAGTAGCTGGTGCTGGCACACCCTGACACTCTAGGAAGCTAGCAGGCTCTAGAACCTCTGAGATTTGAGGCATTTCAGGAAAGACAGATGGAAAGGGACACGGGAAGGGAGAGAAGTCCTTCAGTCTGGAATCTGGCTATGAGTCAGAAACATCAACACAACAGATAAAGCAAAAATTTTCCAGAGACTGCTCCTGTCTTCCCAGAGTATATAAAAACAACGAAACCATGTTCATGTGGCCTCCTTCACCCTGTCCCAGCAGTGTACCCAACAAAGCCACCTAACAGTTTCAAAGGGAATTTTTTTTTTAAGACAAGCGAATCACCTTGAATTAACTTACTTAATTTTCAACTTTGCTTTACCTTTAAGTCTTGTCAACTACAATATATTCTTTGTGAAATGGAGCTTTAAAAAGCTTCAGAATGACAGATGTGACATCTTGTCCATGGGTCTTCCTGGGATTCAAGAGAGCCAAGTCAAAGACCCAGCTTGTCATTTCCTCTTTGTAAAACAGCAATGAGTAATATAGAAATACCAGACACAGTAAAAGGGAACTCTGTTATTTGTGACTATAAATTATTGCTAGACAATACACAATAGATGACAAAGGGGTGCAAGCTTTTTACCCACAAGATCTAGGGTAACTGCTAAGCCTTACAGCAAGCTCCAAGACCCTGGTAAGCTGAATGGGCTCCTCCCAGGCTCTGTTCATGACCCGAACTTCCCAGTATGCAGACTTATCAAGTCACAAGTGAACAAAACAAGGGCTGGCCACGGCTAGCTCCTCTATACCAAACCAGGACAACAGGGTGCCCATATTAAATATGCTTTCATCAGATTATGTGTGCTGACACAAGAGTGAGAAGACCGAGAGCCCGAGAGGTTTCCACCCCTGTGTGCCTCACAGTGCTCTCAGTGAGGGGTGGGGGAGGGGGCTCTGACCTTGTACATGTGAAGCCTCTCTAGTACTTCAACAGCCCGAGAGGAAATCCTTGTGTAAATCCATCCGACAGTAAAGCAGCGCAGAAAGAGTGGCAAAGCCTCGTGGTATCTGAAAAGGACAACGAATGCCAGTGGTTTAGTAACTGGGCTCATACGAATTGTAACCATTGACAAAACGTGGAATTTCTATCTTTAAAATTATATATTTCAATACTTTGAGTTGTGCACTATGAAATTAGATCATCACAGCCACGCCCCTGCCCCAGGACGCATGGAGAGGAGAGATGAGAATATATATTAAGATTTAAAATGGAGGTCAGCATTTAAACCTCATCCACAAACTCAGACAAGTCTTCAAATTTCCTAAGACCTGCAGCAAAAGGTTATCTTCTTCAAACATTATTTTAAAATACATTCTACTATTGACCTCTCTGTACATGTTGTCACAATGAGGTAAAATTAAGTTCATTTGTAACTGACATATAAACACACGGAAACTGCATGATATTCCAATACATGCCAACACTGTAACCAAGGTGCACATTAGACATTATTCACTTCTGGTTTGGGGCAGAGTCTCTCGATTACAATTTCTGTGATAAAACACTGTGACCAAAAGCAACTTGGGGAAGAAAGCTTTTGTTTGGTTTACATTTCCACATCATTGTTGATTACTGAAAAAACGTCAAGACAGGAACTCAAGCAGGGCAGGAACCCGGAGACAGGAGCTGATGCAGGGGCCAGGGAGGGGTGTTGCTTACTGGCTTGCTAAGCCAGCTTTCTTAAAGATCCCAGGACCACAAGTTCAGGGATGGCCCCACCCCCAGTGGGCTGGGCCTCCCCCATCATCACTAATTAAGAAAATGTCCTACAAGCTTGCTAAGAGCCTGATCTCATGGAGGTGTTTTCTCAATTGAGATTCCCTCTTCTCAGATGACCACAGTTGTGTCAAGTTGACATAAAACTAGCCAGTGGAGGAAGGTTGTGTATGTTTGTGTTCAAGTGTGTGCAGATGCACGTGGGCAAGGAGGCCAGAAGCTGACAATGCCTGCCTTCCTCAGCCCTTCACACCTTGCTTTTTGGGTTTGCTTTTAATATTTTTAATTTATTGAATATTTCATACATATATACAATGTATCTTCTTTCCTCGTAGTCTCCCCCACAATTACCTTCTTCTACCCCTCCAACTTCCTCTGAGCTCTGAGCTCAAGCTATGGATCCTACCACTGTCACAATGCCACAAACAACAACAACAACAACAACAACAACAAACACACACAAACACTCACCTCAGGGAAGGGTGGCTTTTCAATTGGTCCCAGTCTCTTTTTGCACTCTGAGAAAGCTCCTTAGCTTCTTCCCAGTTCCCACTGGCCATGGCAGCTGAGATGTCACTCAGCATGTGCGCGGCTGCTGCATATCTAAAGAGAATGCCAACCAGGTCTTAAGTGGAGGAACATGTCCATAACAACTACTACATCCCGGCCACTGGGCTTATCTAAAGAGAAAAGTGTGTCTATGTAGGGTATGGTGGTGCTTGCCTCCAATCCAAGCACTGAGAAGCAGAAACAGAAAGAAGCAGGTGGATCTCTGGGTTCTAATTCTACAAAGTGATTTCCAGGTTAGCTAAGGCTACCCAACAAGATCCTGTCTCAAAAATTAAAAACAAAACCAAAACACAAAGAGTGAGGTGTATTTAAGTTGCATCCTAGCAAAAACATAATATAGTTCTCCCCTCTGCTCAATGGCTGTGAACTGATTCAGCCTGCCCTACTAGGAAAACAGAAACACTTACACCGTAAGATTACAAAGCTTGCCCCATTACATAAATTCCATAGTGATGGAATCAGTGCTCCTGGGCCCTGGCACTCACCCACTCAACAAATTGAGAGTCACTAAGCAAACGTGTGACTGAATTCAGAAGTATAGCAAGACAAGACGACAGTTTGACACAGTAAGCAATGTAGTCAGAGGTGTCACAGAGATACTGCCCAACTCCACAGAATGACAGGGTATTTCCAAATTGGGAACGCTTCAGTGAGAAAGCAATGATGAAGCTTTATTAACTATTTAGTGGAAGAAATATGATGTTTCATTACTTCGTTAGATATGAAAATCAAAGATGTGTGACTAACAGACTCTGAAACACTGAGAGCATATTCCTTATATTTTGGAGAAGAACAGCATGCAACACCAATAAACACAAACACGAATATTAACAAGAAAACACCTTGCATCCAGATGTCAAGTTCGCTCACAAACCCACAGACCCCAATTATTTAGGATAGTCTACTAGATTCCAAGGTCAATAAAAAAAACAGAAAAGCATGGCCAGGTGCTGTAGTCCAGTGATAGGTATCGCACGGGCCTGCCCTGCGTCAATCCCAGCATGCCTCACTTCTGTTAGCTCACAGCAAAACAAAAGATTCAGAACTTCAAGGTCATCCTCCAGTACATAATGAGCTCAAGGGTAGCCTATGCTACAAGAGACCTTTCTCAAAAAAAGAAAAAAAAAAAGAAGAAGTGGGGGGTGGAGAGAAGGAAGAGGAGGAAGAGGAGGAAAGGAGGAAGAAGAAGAGAAGGAGGAGGAGGAGAAAGAGGAAGAAGAGGAGGAAGAGGTGGTGGTGGTGGTGGTGTCTGGATGTTGGGGTGTCTGGTAGTATACCATCCCCTCAAACCATCACCAGGGCAGGAGCAGCCCCTTCACATTCAGCATCACAGCTGATGCAACTCCCACCTGAACCAAGCCCACCACACTTTACTTTGAGACCAACAAGCGTCTATGCAAGCTAGCCGAGCTCGGCCTCCGCCCACCATCTGTCGAGTCCTTTTTATACTCCCTCCAGACATCAGGTGTCTTCCAAGGGTCCTGCCTTAGCACGTGTCTTGCCTTAGCATGTGTATCTGTCTCAGCTGACATCACTCTGCCAACCAGCCCAAGTATGGAAGAAACCATGTGGCACAGCACCAGAAGTTTCTTGGTGTGTTTCTCTCTATGGAGTCCCGACAAATGGAGCTTAGCTATACAACGTAAGGCGGATCCATACATGTGTGTCGTTATCAAAGACACGCCTTCGTTATGTGTCCATCCTTTCACCTGTGTCTGTTTCAGTGAAACAGTCCTTCATGGGTCTGCCTTAGCCTTTCACCTGTGTCCACTTCAGGAAATGTTCCTTCACGTGTTTGCCCCAGCAAAACACCATCCAACACAACTGCCTCTCCAAAGAGCCCTTGAGTTTCCACTTCACTTATCTGCCCCCTTACATCTAATAACAATCAAGTCATTTCTGCTACCAAACTATTTCTGATGTACTCACCTGTCTCCACTACTACCACCCAGTCCAGATGTCGCCATTCTCCTCACCCAGACCACCACCAAAGTCAAGTTGGCCTTCCTTTGGCTCTCCTGCCCCGTGACTTGAGCTCCACAGGCTGCTCTGGTTACAAACATGGAACACCCCTTCAGCTGCTTCCCAACACTAGGAGAGGAGACCCAGGCTGGCCCCATCTGACTGAGGTCAGGCAATCCTCCAGTCCTTGCAGCCTGTCCCTACACTGCTGCTCCCCAGAGCCGGAGCCAGAGGCTGTTTCTCTAACACAGCCAAGTCCTCCCTGCCTCTGCTTACCCTATGGCTGAAGGCGTGCACACCCTGTCCACACACGGCTGCCTCCCCTGACACTGCCTAGAAAGGAGAAGTTCTGCAGCCTCAAAGGTTACATCACTGTTTAAGAAGCTTTACTACTTTTCATTTATGTATATTAGAGTTTTACTGCATTAAAATAAAATTAAAACAGAGTCTTACTGCAGTGAGTGCACTGCCTGTCTACCTGGTGCCCGTCCACAGAAGCCAGGAGAGGGTGAAAGCTTAGAACCCTGGAGCTGGAGTTACAGAGGTTGTGAACAGCCATGTCAATGCTAGGACCGCAGAGGGCCGAACCAGGTACTCTGCAAGAGCAGGGAGTGGTCGGAGGTGCTGAGGCAGTGCTATCAACCTATCACATGACTTTTTACGGTTTCCTGCTTCTTATCTCCACAGTGAGTGGTAACCCCAGGTAGGCAGCAACCTCACCTCCTTCACGGCTGCAACTCTAGCCACTATCTAGAGCACAGGAACCTCTGGGTACTCAACACGGCTTTACTGGTCAATCTCAAGAGCAGAAGAGGGCAAAGGGCTATCAGGTCATGCATCATGTTATGGATTTGTGTAATACGGCACTTCCAGGAGTCAACTAAACCCAATTTCATTCATAACCAAGAGGTTATTTACTTCATTGTAGCGTAGGTTCTTTGTAGAACAAATCTGAGTCCACTCACTTATTCACTTGCCACCTGTGGTCTTGCCAACCATGAAACTAAAAGGTAACCCCTTTAATACAAGGTAGCGATGACATCTGTAGTACTCGCTAGCATGTCGGAGGCCCACCACAGAGGTCAGGTTCTAAGCACTTCCCATGTGCTCACACACATCTGTAAGAGTAAACCATTGCTTTCTCTGGCTGCAGACGAGGCCAACTGTGAAGAGAAGCTTCAGTCCTGGGTACACTGAGGCTGGAAGGTGGTTTCAGGGGACATGGGTGCACAAAAGAGAAACGCATAAAGCCACAAGAATAAAACTCACAAAAGAGACCGGGAAACAGGGTACGTCCTCAGGACAGAACATCTGGCTAGAGGCTCAGGCCAAATGAACACAAGCAAGGCAGCTTCCTGACAGCTGAGGCATCGCTGACTCAGCAGGTTCAGTGACCATGAGTGTCCTAAACTGAATGCGCCCTAAAGCAAAGGTCTGAGTCAATATTGATTAAATGTGACGTACAGATCTTACATCGATAATCAAACTAATGTTTTGGGAAATTCATTTTTTTCCTTCTAAAAGTTGCTTTCTCTTCTTTTTAAGGAAATGCATCCACGTGGTTGTGCACACCCACATACAACACTCAGGTCAAAGAGCAGAGGGCAAGAGGGTTGTGACTGCTGAGCCAGACAAGAGTCCTAGACAAGAAAAATCCTACCTCAAAACAAACAAAAAGCATAAACAAATAAATAAACAGGTATTTCTCTTTAGCTTTAAGACCTACACTTTTTTTTTTTCCAATCAAAGCCTCTTTCTGCTAATCAAACCAACATTCACAAAACCCATGAAGTACTGTGTAGACTCAGGAGTTCTAACTACAGTGTACACACACGCTCTCATCAGCCAGGGCTGAATGCTGTGACTGGGAAACATGCTCTTCTGCCTTATTTGTCCCAGCAACAAATGCGCAAGGCAGGGTTGTCAAACATCTGTGTTACAAAAGTGTTTCCTGCCACAGCTACTCAGGAATTATCACCTAATGAAAATCTTTTGTGGCTTTAACTCAGAACTCCCTGACTGACAGCCTTCGGCTAAGTGCATGTGAGCATTCTCCAGGTAGGTGCAGACTGCATGTGAGGAAGGCAGTGATAAATCCACAGATGTAAAGATGACTGTGGCATGAACTCCACATTTCCACATTGGCAGGCAAGAGAAAAATAATAGGACCTTTTCTGAAATTTTAAAATGTGCACAGGTATTGCAGAGACTTAGCGTGGCCCCACCTGATGAGGTCCTCTCTGTCCCTGAAGATCTGGGTCTTCCGGCTGACGGTGTACTGAGGAAACTCCACTCGGCCCAGGTTGACCAACAGCACAGTAGACAGCTGACCTTGACCTCCACAAGCAGCTTCTTCGTCTTCCATGGAATCAGTCAACGAGAACAGAAGCAAGATTCGGGAAAACACAGCCCTAGGGCCTTTACAGACCCGAAGGGACCGGCCAGCCAGGTCTTTAGCTCTAAAATATGTACAGCACAGAGTCACCTCTCTAGCCTTTAAGCATTGGATATGATATTTTACAAATTATACTCAGTTAAAATGAAGAGAAATATCAGTCATTGTTCTAAACATGCAGCATTTAGCACTCTCTGCTGTGACAATGGAGTGTTACCTAGCCTTAGAGCTCAGAGACTTACTTAGGGACATGGAAAAATAAATTTTTACCTCCAATGGTTTCATGCATAGTTTTACTCAGTAGGTGCTTTCTCCCCCAGCCACAGATTATGTAGAGTTTACCATGGCCATGAACAATCAAAACACCAGAAAAAATTCATAAAAGACCTTATTGCCTCTGATATTAGCAATTCTCATTTATTGATCTGAATGGCCATCTAAAGACCAGGAACCCCTGGTACTGGTCCTCAGCACCACAAATAACACAGACCCCTTCCTTTGAGGTACTCACCTTCTCATGGTGTCCATTACTGTAATACTGAAAACTACTCAGAGAATTCTAAGACCTCAAGCTGACCAAGTGGCCTCTACAACAGGCCTTCTTTAAAAAAAAAAAAAAGGACATTTGTGTGTGTACGGACATGCCACATATGTGTAAAGGTCACAGAACACCTGTCAAAAGTTGGTTCTTGCTGGGCAGTGGTGGTGCACGCCTTTAATCCCAGCACTTGGGAGGCAGAGGCAGGTGGATTTCTGAGTTCAAGGCCAGCCTGGTCTACAGAGTGAGTTCCAGGACAGCCAGGGCTACGATGTTTCCATTTCATTTTAAAATCTTAACTAGCGTATAAAAAATAAACTATTAATTTTCTACGAGGGCTATGGTGGTGCACTCCTTTAGTCCCAGCACTTGGGAGACAGAGCCAGACATGTTTCTGAGTTCAAGGCCAGCCTGGTCTACAGAGTGAGTTCCAGGACAGCCAGGGCTACACAGAGAAACCCTGTCTCGAAAAACCAAAAAAAAAAACCTAAAAAAAAAAAAAAAAGATGGTTCTCTACTTCTACCATGTGAGTCCTAGGAATCAAAGTTAGATTCTTGGAGATAAGCTCTTTTACGTAACAAAGATTTGCTACTTCTCTAGGTAAATACACTTTTTTTTCCTGGTACTAGGGGCTGAACCTGGTTGGGGTCTTGAACACACTAGACAAGTGCTTGACCACTGGGCTATAACCCATCCTTCAGACATATAGTCTGAAGTAAACTTCTTACATACATGAGTTGTTAAAATGGAGTCATTTATAATATACAAAATGTTCAAGTATCTCGTTTTATCCTCCACTGCTCTGGAATAATGAGCCCCATGCTAATGTGGATATACTTTGAGATTTTATAGATTTCATGGTAAAAGAACTCCACAGGTTTTTGTGGTTTTTCCTAAAGTGGTTTCTAAAGATCAAAAAAACCACCGAGTGCTGGGTAAAACTTTTAAAAAATGATGCATAATAAGCCTGGCTTACAACATTCCAATAAAAAGTTTACTAAATTAAAAATATGACTGACAGCTTGTCCTAAAGTCCCTAAGTACAGGAGGTACAGCTGTTGGAGTGTCCTCTCCTATGGCACATCTTGGATAATAAATTATGCACGTGTACCAAAGGCTTTTACTTTATCGGCTATGTTGAGGTCTACCTGGCCTCCTCGACCCATGAGCACAGCTGTAGCCATTTTGCTCCATGCCTGCCAGCTATTTCATATTGTTGCCCTAACATGCCTGCCAGTCACTGACACAGAAAAACGACTCAGAGCAAGGTCATGCTGATCACATATCCTGTTATGTTTGTATGAGGTGTGTTAATCTATAGAAATTTCACAAACCTTCACACAGGACCCATCAAATTTAAGGTCAGTATGAACTGTTATGTCTAAATGGTTTGAATCAGAGCCGACCACTGGGGAGCACTTCCTGCACCTGAATATGAGCTCACTGAGGTTTTTGTGTTGTTTTCCTTTACAAGCTGAAAGAGAAAGATCTTTATCATTGCAGCCTCAGATAATTCTGAGCTATGTCCCTGATGGTTCAATAAACGATCCTTGTATGACTTAGATTGGTGTTGGTGTTTGTGTGGTTTGTGGGGCGACTCATGGACCCCAACAGCGTACTGATTTTTTTCTAGCTTCTAGAAACTAGCCCAGTCTTACACAAGAATTTTGGAGAAAGCACCATTAAAGCACTGAGGACAGGAGAGTGAAGGCTTTCCATTGTCAATCCCAATACAACTGCCACAATCAGCCACAGTCTAAAAGTTACATAGTCTAGACTATCGGGTTAAGTGTGCTTATCGATACAGCAAACGTTTTCACTGATACAACGAACACAGACCTTTTTAAAATCACCGCTCTGACTCCAGGCTGAGTCTTGCCCCAAGTGCAGACTGAGCGCTGTCTGGCCAGCTTGAGAAAGGCATCTACCAGCTGCTGCTTCTGCCCACCAGGACTCACCAAGTGGAAGGTTTTGGCCAGGGCTTTCAGCTCAGGAGCAGAAAGGAGTTCAAGTACATCAGAGAGTTCTTGCAACTCAGATTCTGCAATAGTTTACGACAACCAAAAGTAAGTTAAAGGCAGTTTCATACAATTTACGATTGTCTAACATTATTTACTTGGGGTAGGAAGAGAATTAGCTAGATGCAAATGAAATGAAATTTTACTATAGAAACTGTGATAAGTTTTCCAAATCAAAGCAGAGTTTGTTAAGCGTCCACCAAACTCTTTCCATTAAAGACTTTAATCCCAGCACTCAGGAGGAAGAGGCAGGTGGACCTCTGGTTTAGAGTGAGTTCCAGGACAGGGAGGGCTACACAAAGAAACCTTGTCTCAATAAAAACAAAACAAAACAAAACAAAAAAAACCAAAACAAACCCTACTACAGACAACAAACTCTGAACAAAGTTTGCTGGGATACATCTTCCTCATCTGTAGCCATGTAAGGGGTCTCTCCAAACTAGCTCACAGAGTGAAGTGGCCCTCAGTTATCCTCCACTCCACCCTCTGCCTATCATATGATGCAGGCTGGCAAGCCTTACATGGGCTCAGTCCTCCAGCATCCTGCTATGGTGTACCCCAGATAACACACCAGGGTGAGTGCGTTCTTGTTGCAGGACCTAAAGCAGACGCAGCCATGTGTCACCATTGTAAGCCAGGTCCTTGACCAGAGGGAACTCATCTACCACAGTACTGATGCCAGGCAAAAAAGACAAACAGCTCAGCACTGGAGAGATGGCTCAGCAGTGAAGAGCACTTCCGTTCTCCCAGAGGACCCAGAATCAGTCAGCACACCCAGCAGCACAGTCACTTAATGCCAGCTGCCAGTGACCTGATGCCTCTGGCCTGCTGGGGCACCTGTACTGTCAAGCACATAGTCACATGAAGACAAACACAGCGACACATGAGTAAAAATAAACCTTTCTCTTTTTTTGTTAAAGAAAAACAAAATTGTCTGAGGCCAACAAATCCTGACAGAGAGGGTGGTTGCTTTATACAGGAGTCACACAGATGTCTTCTGAGGATGGAATCAAATGTAAGGTGATTAAACGGTGGGCCCTGTCCTGTGCAGAAAAGAAATTAAGTCCAAGGTCCTGCAACAAGAACGCATTCACCATGACAAAGACCACAGAGGACTGCGGTATGGCTGCAAGAGGCAGAGGGACAGCCATGAAGCATCATGGTGAACCATCGGAGCTCTGGCTTTGTTCAGGTTTAGAGGTAAGTCCCCAGCAGCAGTCAAAGGGAGTGCCCTCTGTCATACATGTTTATCTATGTGCACAGCATCTTCCAAGTCAGGAGCAAGCAAAGATCAGCTTCCACCGAGGAAAGAAAAGTACTGTAGTCCACTCAAGCCAAGACCTTACCATCACCCCAACATCTTTACCTTCTGTTCCCACTATAAACTCTTCCCACTGATGCCAAAGTGTCCTTGACTTGACCTTGGGTGCCCATCCCTCATTCTCCCTCTCCCCATTTGCATCTCATACTGTACAGGATAACCCAGGGTATCACAAGAGAAGGCGGGTTCTCTAGTGTTCACACATCTCTGATTAAACTCTAATTAAATTCTATGGGCAGTCCACACGCAGTGGTGGCATGTGTGGGCATGGTGGGGACAGATGTTTGTTAGAGGAACACGGGCGTCATTCCAGCTGGCTTTGCTTTGTCAGAGATGAGGAGTTTGAGTAAGATGAATCAAGTGCTCGCTGGAAGGCGAAAGCTCAAGAGGAATGTCCTTTTCTATGGCACATCCCATCCCCAGGCGACAGAACTTGGACCAGGAAAGCAATGGCAGTCCATCCTTCACGGCCCTCTCAGCTATCACCCAAGCACCTGAGAGCCTTAAATCACATGATAACCCACTGTCCTAAGTTAACAGTGTCTAGATCTGTTTTTAAAGTAGTAGTTATTTAGCAGATACTAACCAGGAGGTGCCACACCAACATTCCCATAGTCCACTAAAAGTGAATCTTTCATGGAGCCCTGCTGTCCTGAAACTCACTCCATAAACCAGGCTTGGCCTCGAACTCAAGAGATCCACCAGCCTCTGCCTTTTGAGTGCTGGGATTAAAGGCATCCTCCTCCTTAAATCCCATTTCCCTCTCAGGTTCTCCCTCTAACCATACCTGTCTGTAGAAAGCCCGAGTCCTTCAATTCTTCAACCACAGGGCTTAAGTCCACGGCAATCTCTTCATACTCCAGTTTAGTCATTTTAATCCAGGTTAATTTACGTTGGAAGAGCCTCACATACAACTTCTGACCACTAGCTGCAACAAAGTTAAGAAAAACAGCAAAAAACAAAAGAAAGAAAAAAAATTAACTTTCTTCTAAAAAACATACAGATTCATTCCATTTACCTTTAGATATGAGGTAAATATGTATTACTAGAAATAGACACATATGCACATTAGCCAGCCAGCCGGTGGCACAGGCCTTTAAACCCAGCACTTGGAGGCAGAGGCAGAGGGAGCTCTGAGTTTGAGGCCAGGAGGCCAGCCTGGTCTACAGAGTGAGTTCCAGGTCAGCCAGGGCTACACAGAGAAACCCTGTCTAAACAAATAAAAAAGGGGGAAAAAAAAGCTTCTGCCATCATAACTGAAGCACTGCTTGCACAGCTGACTTGTTTATAATGAGCCTATCCTTGACACTGAGCCAGCCCACAATACTCCCACAGGGACTCCTTGTTGTCATTAGACTTCTGCCCATTGCAATGCACACAAATCAGATAAGAAAACCCCAAAAGCAAACAGGCTGAGGATACCTGACAACTGGTAAAACTTAGTTATAATCCCCTTCTCCTGGTCATCAAAGAGCTTCATGTCCTCTTCGTTCTCAAGGATGGCTTGCAGCACCAGCAGGAAGCTCCTCAGGTAGTAAGGGTGACTCAGTGGGGGTTCAGCTGTCTCACTGGGAACATCACACCTGGACCCCTGCTCCAGAGGGCTACAAGCCCTTTGTCTCTTTAAGGCACTGCCAGCTTCCCTAAGCTCTTGGTTGTTACTCCATGGAGACATGTTGTCCTTGGTGGCTGGACCGTTTGATCCCGCCTCTCCTGACACCAGGGTTTTGTCCCCAGCATCAACAGTCATTTGTACTTCTTCCTGACTGTATGCCTCAAGCTGCTCAGCGACCCCTACCCTTACTGTTCTGGCACCTTCTTGCTTTCCAAGAGTGTCTCCTGAAGAGGATTTCGTGTTATTGGCGAGAGTTACATCTGAGGACAGTAATAAGGGGGCATGCTCTGAGGATGCAGAGGTGAGGGCTGGCTCCCCACAGGAAGCTTTCTGCCTTTTATCCCCCATTATTTCACTGCTCTTTACCTTCTGTTCTGAAGCATTCTCTTCCTTTAGAGATGCACATGAATAAATGTTTTCCTTCTGGGAACTGTATGAAATCTCATCTTTGTCTTCCATCTCTGGACACTTATCAACCAGGCTGGTGTCGTGTGTGGATGGAGAAGTCTGTGGGCAATGACTGGCTAGTCCCTCATTTTTGGCGAGTGATCTTTTAGCTTTTACATATCTCCTGGACAGTTTCGACGACAGACTTCCCAAAGGCATAATTTCCACACTCTGATTTGGAAGCTCATTTTGATTTTTGCACACCAAGGCATCTTTAAAGTAGGGACTGGTCTGCTGTTGTATGTCCAGTTTTGAACCACACTGGACAGGGATTAAACTTCTCTTTGGTGGTGATAACTTCTGAGGTGTTATTTCTTCTAAAGGAATACTGGATACATCTGATCTAGGCACAGTTGGATTCATTAAACCAGCCTGAGCAGGCTCAACTTGAACGACTTCACCACTGTTAGAACAAGACTCATCAAGGTGCCGGATTAGGTCATACCTGGGCACCATTTTATGACAAATTGAACATGCAAGTTTAGCAGGTGGTGCACTGTTAAAATACGAAATAATCGAATGAGATTGGCTTTTTGTAGTTTTGCTGGTAGATAAGCTTCTACGGCGTCTTTTTTGATCAGGTGATTTCCTTTGTGACGTCATGACTATTAGAAAAAGTGGGCAAAAAATTCGGGTAATCTCAGGTGAAGGTCCGAAATGTTTTATTTTCATTCACTTGGCTTCAATTAATAAAAAGGGCCCTGCTACCTCCTCATCAGTTAATACAGCGGCCACCCCAGGTGAAGGACCCTAAAACTTTACTTTTACTCTCGGCGTGAACTAATACAAAGTGAAATAACATTTGACGTCGTTATTCGTTCAACTTCTTCCTACAAAATAAAATACATGAGTTAAAAATATTTGTATGCATTAACGGGGTCGGGCGACAACTGAAACGTGGAATGGCAACTTCTGGAATGAGAACCCTGAACTGGATACAGATCGGGGCGGTTCTGCAGCTCCGCGCAGACTCTGTGTCCCTCGCTTCGGAGGAACCAAGCTGCACTTACTTTTAAGACCTTTCTAAGAACCGTTCGTCTTAGAAAGAGGACGCAGACTCGTTCAGACTCTCCTGAACTCACTGCAGCGGAACCGGCTCAGTCGCTCGCAAAGGGCATGAGGTGGGCAGCCGCTCTGCGCAGCCCCGACCAGCCGATCCCAGCGTCTCTGCTCCAAGGCTCAGCTAGTGGAGGCCAGAGTGATGGAGCCGAGGGCGGACCAATGGAGAACTGGGGGTGTGGACTGTGCAATGCTCCCCTACGCTTGCTAGATAAAGTTCTTCCCCCTTTCCCCTCTGTGCGCGCATACGCGTGAGTGTAATAGCAAAGTGGTGAAAGCAACATGGTTGGACTATACTATGTCAAGTGCTTTACAAGTCATACACGAGGGTAACACAACATTTACCGCTGCTGTGGAAGTTCCTTTTTTTGTTTTGTTTCTGAGACAAGGTTTCTCTGCAAACCAGGATCGCCTCTTAAGGCACAGAGATCATCCCGCCTCTGCCTCCAGAGTGCTGGGATTAAAGCCACACATCACCTCACCCAGCGTCCTAACACAACTAAAAATCAATGGAAAGAGATATGGCTATGATATGCTAATCATAATAAACATACTATTATTAATTTGACTTGACAAGGAAGAAGGACCAGAGAAAGTTAGAGAAACAAAGAGAAAGTGAGTAACCAAATAAAATCAGGTCAATAATGAAATTAAATGGTCACTGATTCATATACTTTAAAGGTAAAACTAGTCAGATTAGACTTAAAATGTAGTTCTTAACTATGTGCACATACAAGAGCCTGATATAAAAAACTTAAATTTTCCACAAAAAATACAAACTCTTAAGACTATGTAGTAGTCAAATCACGGCTAAAAACTAACACCTTAAAGTGTAGGGAGACAGGAGGATTACTCGAAAGTATTTATTCAGAGGAAAAAGATAAATCCTCTTTTGAATAAAACTTAGGAAAGTTTCTGGGTGTGGTGACACACACCTTTAATGCCAGCACCCGGGAGGCAGGAGCAGGTGAATCTGAGTTGGAGGCCAGCCCAGTCTATACAGGCTTCCTGTGGCTGCATAGTGTGACTCTGTCTCAACAAAACAAAACAAAACCTTGGGGAAATGTCTTAATGTTCTATTAGTGGTGCCATACTCAGAAAATGTCCCTTAAACTCATGTGTTGAAATGTAATGGCCAGCAGAGAAACGGCTCAGCAGTTTCTGATGGCCTGAATTTGAGCTCCAGGATCCATATGGTAGGAGAGAACCAACTCCTACAAGTTGTCCTCCTACTTGCAGACCTGTGCTGAAGCATGAGGACAGAGCCCTTCAGAGAATGGATACAATTAGCACCATTGTAATAAGGGATGGAGATAGGAACGAGAGATGGCTCAGAGGTTAAGAGTACCTGCTGCTCTGGCAGAAAGCCTGGGTTCAGCCTAAGCAGCTAGCTCAGTTGGCTCACAACTACCTGCAACTCTAGGTCCAGGGGGCTGGTGCACATGCAGGCATACACACACACACACACACACACACACACTCTAGGTCCAGGGGGCTGGTGCACATGCAGGCATACACACACACACACACACACACACACACACACACACACACACACACACACACATTAAAGCTGGGGCAGAGTCCTGCCCTTCTTCCTAACCAAACAAGAATGAAGCAACAAAATGTCATTTGTTCCTGATATCCCCCTCACCAGACACCACATTTTCTGAGCTGTTAACTATAAATTATCCAAACTTAGTTCATTGTAGCAACACAATGAACTCAGAGACTCAGAGAACTAGTGTTTAATCTCCTACACAACCTTGTTCTATCTGCTTACAGCCATTTTCAGCATTAATAACTCTACACAGGATCTTCACCCTTGTGTTTGGCCTCTGCCCATAAACAAGAGCCTTTCTAGTTGTTCTTAGTTTTAGTCTTGTTTTCTACCCATTTGGAATAAGGCTGGTTATTTTCCCATCAAGTCATGACGTTATCCATCAAAGGCATTTTCATAATGGGTTTAGTTCCACTAAACACATTTAGTGTGGAGTGGTCTGAGGAATGAACACTTGGTGGTCACAGGGGACTCTGAAGACTATCAGTCTGCATTCAAAGCTATATTGAGCCTGTTGCCTCTGGATTCCCTTCCAGACCTTATTTGTCTGCTCCATATCTTACTATGAAATGCAGTGTCTCCCTTTGTTCAGGTATTAAGACTTTCCAAAGGTTGAAATATGGGTATATTTGTTTATTTCATGAAGTTCTTCTATCTCTACCTCCCTCCCATCTCTTTTTCCACCCTTATCCCTTCCAACTCCCTAACACTAGGTAGAAGAGAAAGAATGTTAGAGGGGAAAGGAGACTTAGATCTCTATAGGCTACTTTCCGATGCTTAGGACCATTGGATTCCTTGGGGCAAGCCCATCCTTCATCATCAGAATATCCAGCAATCCAGCAAACCAGCAATAGCAAACAGCAGCAGCAAGGGGAGCAGCTGCCACAGGCCCTCTCAGGGCTCTGGCATTTAGACCCTCTCCAGAGTCCCCAGAAGCAAACTATCTGCAACTGGTAAAAATCACCCCTCCGCGACCCCCGGGACAAGACAATACTTCACAGCTGTTCAAACTGAAGCAGCCCCATATCCCACACCTAGGATTAAAACAAAAATAAATTCATATTAACAAAACAGAGTTTTTGAAAGTGCTGTTTCATGAAACACGACATAATAGCAGAAGAAAATCAAGAATTCAAAGGACCACACACATTGTGATGATGAGCAAAGCAGCTGGCTCTGGGTGCTTCTCATAGAAAAACGGTGACAAAGTGGAATCAGCTCACTTAACACTACTGCAGGAAGAAGGTGGGGAGGCTCAGACCTGTTTCACACCCACAGAAACCCAGACGGGCTATTATTTGGCTGTTCTTTTAGGGTCTAGTGCAATCCAAACCGGTGTCTAACTCACTATGGAGCTAAGTCCTGAATTTCTGATCCTCCAGCCTCCACCTTCTGAGTGGCTGGATTATGGGTATGTGCCATCCCTGGTCCCAGAGAGGCATTCCAATTAAGTTTGCCACAGCACTATAAAGCCTCAAGTAGTTCGCATCAAGCAAATATGGATTAATTATTTTGTCAACTTAACACAAGGCAGGATCAACTGGAAAAAAAAGAACCTCAATTAAGAAAATACCTCTAAAGACTCCCATAGGAAGTCTGTGAGACATTTCCTGGGCTAATGATTGACAAAGGGAGAACCTGGCCCACTATGGGTGACACCACCCCTTAGGAAGTAGTACTGCTTTGTATATGTAAGATGGGAAAGCCAGAGAACAAGCCTGTAAACTGTTTCTCCATAGTCTCTGATTCAGTTCCCACCTCCAAGTTCCTGTCTTGATTTCCCTCAGTGATGGACTGTAAGCTGTAAAATGAAATAAGCCCTTTCCTGTACAAGTGGCTTTGATGATGGCCTTTATTAAAACAACAGGAAGCAAACTAAGAGAGGTCTCTGGAATTTTATTATAAAACAGAATAATGACAGAAACTTACAGATTTATACATTAAATTCAAATATATTACAGCTTTAATTTATGAACAGAAATGTCCTGTTTTTTCTTCTTTATTTTTCCAGGTTGTTTTGCATCATTAATTTGCATTTTTACTTGATCTTGCAATTTAGAAAAGAATGCCTGAGATGACTTTAAGGGCTTATCTTTTCGTTCATCCTGAAGTGAAAACAAAACGGACATGTTACAAAATGTGGTTATGTGAGAAAACCCAAAGTCTAACAATACATTATAATGAATACACGCATAAACAAGAACTCAAATAGCTACCTTAACAAGTATTTTCCATTATTAAAACACCCTTGTATCTTGAGGGGAAAGAAGAGAGAGGAAAACTTGCTGCCAGACCTGTTTTTGTAAAGGTTATAGAAAGGCTATAGGGTGCTGAGGCCACCCTCGAGTATGTCTCTAGATCGCAGAGGCAGCTCTGACACCCGAGTTGAGAAACAGCCCAATGCATGCCCCGCCCCCCTGCCCCCCACAGACCTCTCCTTACTTACCTTTAACAAGGACACTTTGCCTGTTCTGGTCAACTGTCTGAGCTTCTCTGACGCTGCTGCTCTGCTGGACTTAGACTGATCTGGGCTGCTCTTTTCAAGCAATTTTCTCCGCTTCTCCTTCTCCTTTATTTTCAAACGCTTCTGATATTTCTTTTTCCTCCGTTCTCGTTTCTTATCTGTAGCTGTTTTCTCAGCAGCTGTTTTTAGATCTCCAGCTTTATTTTTCTCCTATTAAAAAAATAATATAAATGAATCCTAAACCACCAGCATACTAACTGTCTGTGAAGGCTAGTCTTGTCAACATGACTATACCTGGAATGAACTCTAATGTCTGCTGAGGGATGAAAGGAGCACACAATGGCCAGTGGCTGAGTGTCGCTGCAGTGTGTGAGGTTGCAGAGCGAGCCTTGTTTGGTTCCAAGGAGCTCTGGTAACTCTTAAAGCCTACACTATGTTCTTTGCCAGAACTCCGACTAGAGTTCAGCCCCAAATGAACTCAGAAAGGAGACAGAGCTAAGCTCTCAAGCCCCCAGTACTGGTCAGTAGGTGCTCTCCAACACTGGTCAGGTCACATGACACATCTGACTCAGCCTTGGCTCTAAGCTGAAAATGACAAGCCCTGGGCTTAGATCACTATGTCTCAGATATCAAGGAAGAGAGAAAGCAGGGAATCCTGTCTCCAGTGAAGACTGACTTCCTAATTTCTCCTGAGCTGTCAGCTCATTGCACTGGGGTTATCACTGGCAAAAGATGGCAGAGGTTCTGACACAAGTGGTAGCTATACATGTAACAACATAAGTGAGACAAAAAGAGAGATTCTGATGCTACTCCATCAGAGCAGATATGGGCTCACCAGAAGCCACTGTTTCTGTAAGGAAAGAATTTCCACGTTCAGGAGTCAGAGGATGCCAGCACCTGATTATCCAATGTGTTCAGTGTCCTACTGGTCTACTGGACTCTAGATCACAACACTACACTAGCCTTATACTGACTGCACTAGGCTTACACTGCAGTTTATGGTTATTATGGACAAAGCCAGCATGGGGTGAG